AGCAAAAAGAGGAGCGATTAAACCTCCTCTGTGTAAGCAATGATCATAATTGCAAAGGGAAAGTATGAATTTATCTAGCAGAGACACAAACAGGAAAACAAATGACATCTAACCCTCTCTTACACTATCTAAAATGTAAAAAAAAATGGTTATACATACACTTGAAAGCATTGTGAGCATGTATGGAATCTGGAAGATGGTATCATTAACCATCATTATCACTCGAAATCCATTTCTAATTAGACATTCATTAATATTGGTAATTTCCCTCATACACGGGGCTTTTATTGGCAGATTATGTTTAATAATGAGAGGCTAAGAGAGGATTTCATGCCAGAAAATGTTGTCACCTTGCTTCGTACCTTTTTGTGCCAAGTTTAAGATATTGAAACTGTTTCCTGGTTTGTGTACATTTTTTTTGTTTTCTCTGAAAGTTTATTTGATTTATTAAACGTGCTCTTGCTTGGTTTAAGGGTACTAATATTATTTCCTTACAGCGGCATGAAACAGAAATCCTTGACAGCTTCAAAACAAATATAGAATGTTTCTTTTAAAACCCAATAATATCATCAGTGATTCACAATCAGCATCAGCGTATTATGCTTGACTTCAGAGAAAGATTATTAAACCAATATTCCTCCATCGACTTTCCTTGGTACCTAGACAAATGAGCTGTCAGGATCAGTTTATAACACACTTATTTAAGCTCGGTGTACATTTATGCCGCTCTGCTTTCCACCTCTTACAAATATTCCTTGACTGGCCTCTACCTTGCTTTACCACTAATTCATAATGCTGTATTTGGGGTAGTTTATGTTGTAAGGATAAAACATGAAAACATGTAAGGATAAAACAGACTGGGGCTGCTTTCTAATTGTTTTAGATAATTATTAAAGATGCAGTGAGGTTTGGGTGCCAGTAAGGAGCATGCAAAGACTACTGGATGGCGCCACTTGGGATGTTCCGGTAGTACTAAGTTATGTATTTAGCAAAATGGTTAGAGATCAATAATGTAGAGGAGTTGAGAAACAAAATAGGCTGATGTAATTCCTGACCTTACTGAATCCATGTATAAAGGATACTCATATGCAGGACATTGGAAATGCTTAAAGTGTTTTTAAAGCCCAAACCTTTTTTTCAGATTTGGATAGACTGTTGATGGGTTAGAACACCGGTCAGTTTTTTTTTCTGTCTGTGTCTCCATTAGGAAAGATATACCCTCTTTGTCCTGTTGATCACTGCCACTGGGACTACAAGATAAGAGACAAAAAATTATACAGACACAAACCAAAGTGCACCATGGGGCTAAAAGTCAGTGAAAATTTTAAAAGTTTGATCTGTCACCTGAAAAGGATTACAGATAAACATCTTTTCAATGGGCAATTGTGCCACTAAAACTGTCTAAAACAGGATTTATCTCATTTTGGAGAGATGTCCTCTGATTTGCTAATGTGTCTAAAGGACAGAAGGTTAAATAAAATCTCCCCAATGGGGCACAGATGACAAAAATGACTGGTTTTTAACCATTCCATATTCTATGTGAAATAAAAAAAATGTTTAGATATTCTTTCCATTTAATTTATGCTTCATAAAGAATTGGGAATTGTACTGTTAGCACAGTATTACCGATCTTGTAGCCTTACTACCCAGAACCCCTTAAATTCAGCCATTAACTTTTTAATATTTAGTTACATAATCAGCATAGATAAGCAATGTTTCTGTTGAATGCTATTACATTTATACCTGCAGTAATCATACAGTGTGACATGATATGGGAATATTTAATTTGTGACATTAACAATGATAATTTTGTTAACCATGTAAACAGGGCATTTTCTGTAAGGATGACATCGCATAATTTAATTTATCCCATATATGTGTTGGTAGGAAGGCTCACATTAGTGCTAGTTATCGACCTTTCTTTGCATACTCTGCCAGCTATAGATTAAACCAGACTCATAATCAGTTTCCTACTACAATTCAATTTCCTTTTCACAATGGAAGAGCTGTATCATTAATCTCACATTAACCTCTGAGATAACACCCTAAAACTGTGTTTGGAAGCACTATCTTATGTTTTATCAGCAAAAGCAGGGAAATCACTAACTGGTGGAATTTTCACATTTTGTGGCCGTCTCATTAATTGATGCTCATGCCATTATTGCAACCAAACACCCTAAAATGGCAACATATGTCTTTATAATATCACTTAAAATGATTTCCACCTTCATATGACTTTGGAGTGAATTTTCTGAAAAACTGGCACCCCACTTCATGATGTTATGTGTGTAACACCTCCACACTAAAACAAAAGTCAGTTTTTTACAGACACACATGAATCAAGTAAGTAGCAGGACAGACTAGGGTAGTTGATCATTTGCAAACTTGTATTTGAACACACACTATGTGGGATGGTGATCTTTAATGCTGAAACATAAATCTATTAAAGGAGAACTATGAGGTGAGTGAAAATCACTCATCCTCATAGTTCGAGCCGCCGTGTGACAAGGAAACTGTCTCACGTCGGCTCAATAGATGGGGAAGTGAGCAAACACATACCGATGCTCGCTCACTTCTCCATCATCTCCCTGCAGAGATCCGTGACCATCAGTCACGGCTCCCTGCAGGGATTCCTTTCCTCCCCACTCCGATCCTCCAGTGCTGACTGGAGGAATATACGGGGCGGGTACAGCTGGCTCTGCCTCTAGATAGGCAGAGCCAGCTGTCACTCACGCAGCTGGCTGGATCTCGACAGTAAATTCTGGATCCGTCCCGGCTGCGGCGGTCTCAGAATACCGCAAGCTTTAGCTCACGATATACTGAGTTTTGGGTCAGGGGAGGACGCTGGTATATGTCCTCCCGTGACCTTTAAGAGAATTATGGGTGAAAAAACTTCCCATAGTTCTCTTTTAAAATCTATCCTATGAAACTATGTACAGAATTCTCAAATTTTTCAAACCATTGCAAGGTTTTTCAAACTGTTAGATGCTAAAACTTCTAAGATTATCTGCATAAGGGAGCATACAGATATAATATGGCTTGAAACACCTGAAATGGAAGAAAGGGATGGCATTCAAAGAATAACTGTAATTTCAAAGAATTGAAATTACAATTACATATAGATATATGCTCTTACCAATCACAATCAAAAGATATCCACTAGTGATTACTTCCTTGACTGTGCTCCCCTGTTCTCTGTGAACTCATTTACGACAACATTTATGACACCCCACTAACCCTCCCCCCTCCCCCCTCCTCTAACAGCTTTCTCCTGTCTTAACTGACAATGGAGTTACACTTAAATACATGTAATGCTTTTATCCTTTCCATATTTATAATAGCCTTAAGCATAAAAGAGGTATTTTAATCTCATCATCTTTAACATTTTTAGGAGATGTTTGCAAGAAGTCTGGCTGTTAAAACATTTCAAGGGCTCTATAATATTGCATAGTTTATTATGGCTGGGATTTCCTTTATCGCTCAGAATAACCTAATTGTGTCTGAAAATCAGAAAAAATAAATTTGATCTCCTAGCTTACTGGCAGTAATAGAATTGGTTTGATACGTTGAGTTTCAACATGCAGTCCCATACTATTCTGTGCCAGTCTGTGTTTTTTTAATAATACATTGCAATGTCCAAGGGAGAATCTTTGACACGTTAGATATAGGTTTTTGGCTTTGTCTAGCAGACAAACCCTCCAGCTTAGAGAGCCTGACATTAAACCATAACTCAAGATAGCAGATAGGAAGAATTACGGTGAGAGATTAAGAGACCAGAGTAAGCCTTCTAGATCAGCTTCAGTAAATATCAGTGGAATAGCTTCTCTTTTGAATAGGAACATGTAGCAAACAAAAATGTAAGCAGTAATTAGTATTGTTTAATTGCAACTACTGCAAGGGGACATCAATGGTTTACATTGCTTTCCTATTAGGGCCTGAACAAAACTCAAAGTGACACTGAACTTAGGAGTTAAATCTTAAAAATGCATTCAAATAACTAAACAGTTAACAATACTGTATCTTACTTGTGCATCACTCTTGGCTGTATATCCTCAAATGGTCTCTGAATTAATGCGGACACTGCCCTTCCTTCTGGAGGGTTGCTACTTTTGTTCCCCATGGTCCCTGTGTGTGTTGTAAAGTAGCTACCTCTTGAAGCTCACTCCCGTGATGGACTACAATCAAAACACAGTTTAGTAAACTAAATGTGAGATTGTAGTCCATCACTAGAGTGAGCTTGGAGTGGTGGCTACTATAATTATTATATTATAATACACACAAGGACCGTGGGGAACAAAAGTAGTCACCGTCCAGAAGGAAGAACATTGTCAGCACCAATTCAGAGTTGATTTGAGGACCTACGGCCGAGTGATGCACAAATAAGGTACAGTATTGGTAATAGTTAAGGTACTTGAATGCATTTTTAAGATTTATACCCTGAGTTTAGTGTCACTATCAGCCCTAGTGCTGGCTACTACCACCACCCAGATAGCAAGTAATTGAGCTGCAAGTTTGAAAATGACTTGTTAAACTATTGCAGACTTACCAAGCTTCACAATTTTGTTGCACAATTACAGCAAATCTGCATTGCAAGTCTCCAGACCAGCGAGCTTGCAGAGCTCTTGCTAAGACCTGCAGGACTCTTGCTTTAGACTTGCCAAGCAAATTTGCTACAAATTCAAAATGTGTCAACTAGAACTTGTGCTGCAAATGTTCTGCAAGTCTACAACTTGCCAGGAATGTGTGCAGCAAGTTAACAAGAATTACAATTTAACCCTGCCACAAGTTTGTGGCGAGTTATCCTTGCTATCTGGGCACTTACCTAAAACGTGCACTTTTTGTAGCTACTCTTTGAAACTAAAGAAGAGTATGTATATTTTTGGCAACATGTAAATGGGAGGTTAAATTACATAGTTGGGGTACAAATGTTATAATTGTGATGAATGACTATTATTATTATTTCCTTTTATCTTCACCATATTCATCCATTCTTTTTTTAGTGTACCAACATTCCAGAGCCTTCCTGAAGAAATACTTAGTAAGCTAGCTGATGTACTAGAAGAGGTAAGATGTTCTTATAAAAATAGCATGTCTCTCAACTTTATTATTTAATTACTTGGAAAGTTTAATGGTGGTTATGTGACTGTAATATAAGGCAGTTGTCATTATGTCATCTAAATTGTGTACACATGCTCTAGTATTAGTATTATTTAGACTGACAATTCATTAATTTATTTCATATGTTTATATAGTACTGACATATAGCACAGCACTTTAGAATATATATTTCCATTTACAGCTGCTGTTCCCCAAAAAAGGTCACACTCATGTGGGCCAATTTTAGGTGGTAGCTGATCAACTTTTTTGGGGGGGGCAGGAGAGATTGTGGGAGAAAACACACATACACAGAACATATAAACTTTATGCAGACAGTGTCCGGGGTGAAATTCAAGCTCATGGTTTAGAGCTGCAACACAAAAATGATAAATCATACTTGGCATACTTTTCAAGTTTTGTAGATCTGTTGTACCCTGCTGCTCTCATAAATACATAAAAATGTTTACAAATCTATATTGCACTAGCTATGACATTGGTTCATTGCCTCTGCTTTGTACCAGTCTACATATCCAAATGCATCCTATTTTAAGTCAGTTGCATCATGGTTTTTAGACAAGTTTTGGAATACTTGTCGGATTTGTACCATTGATGGCATCCAATCCCTGCTATTAATCTAACTGTGGTCTTTCAGTGATCAATGTGGTAGCATACATTAAAGAAGACCTGCCATGACAGAAATGTGAGGCTACTATAGTATAGTCTGTAGAAAATGTTAGTTCCCTGGCTGTTCTGTTAACCCTTTTGTTTCCATGTTTTTTAAATCACTGATCCATAAAATCATGCAGTGCAGGAGCTCTCACTTCACTTGCTGAAACTGTTGGGCGAAGTAAAAGTATTTCCCATTTAGACGGTCAATGCATGATCGATCTTATAATGTCCTATTTGTATCTTTTCCAGCACACATTTTCAGCTGCCCAGATTATTGACAGAGTTTATTTTGTCAATAATCTTGAGTGTTTTACTTGATACTTTTCTCAGCTTGTGGTCTTTCCTGCTGCCCTAAGTATCCTGCATGACAGCAGGCAGAAACATTTGAAAGTAATATGCAATGACTGTTTCTGAAGCACTGCAGGTCCCTGAGAAGTGGACATCAACAATTTCCTCAGTACAATACAGAGAGGAATGCAAAATGTAGTTTCTACTGTTTTTTATCACAAAATATCCTAGCTATAAGTAGTTAAATAACCCTAACTATGGTTTACACATTCAGCTAACATGATTTCAAGGACAATTATTTTTATAGACAAAAAAAATCGAATCTAGTTTCATGCACAACTTATAGCAAAGGAATAGCATTGAGTATATTTATAGCAAGTAACTAATAAGATACATATTTACTTTACTTGGGTCTCTGAATGTGTAATCTCTGAAAGCCACACGTTAGTCTTGCTTAATAAAATCTGGAGAAATATATTTCGATCTGTAACAACTAATCATATTTCTGTTTCAGTTTTCTAACCTGCACTAGAATGCAGACAGTAGTCTGATTGGCTGTTATTAGCAACATTGTCCCCTGCGTTTTTTAATTCAGCAAAGTCGTTACATCTAAACGAAGGTATCATTTTTTGGAGAAGCTTTTAGGACCAACTGACATTTATGCTTTGCAGTAATAAGGGAACTGTGGTGGATTGCAGTGCCATTCATTTTGAATGGCAACCTTTTGCACCATTACAGTAGCTGCCAATGCACTGCAAAGCACCACAATGCATGTACTGGGCATTATGGTTTGCTATGTCCATTTTGCTGTTCATTAAGATTAATAGTGTGTCTTAATACAGTGTGGCTTATTGTTCAAAAATGTGTTGCAGTAACGCAGGTTCATTAACAGAATGCACAATGCAAAGAGGGCCTTGAACATTATATAGCCTGATTGCTTTCAGGACAAAACGCATATCCCCACAGATAGATAAATAGGGATGAAAGAGGAAGAGTTATATTTAAACATGACATGCCATTTTCATTTAAGCGAAGGAAGCCCCCACTGTGTTACTATTTGCTTACTGTGCAGTTATTTAAGCTGTGTGGTCTGCTTGTTATGTATGAAGTTGTTTCAAAGAGCATAGCTTTGGGATTTAATACCTATATTACACTGCATGGATCCATTTTTCCAGAGTACCTCCCTACCTTTGCAGGGTGTGCCAAATATTGGGCCAAAGCCAGAATATTTATCTAACATTTATGGATTTTATGCAAAATAAAAGTATTCAGAAAATGCAGCAAAGAGAACTATTTGTGATAGACAAATAATCTTGCAGCTGATATTTTGGCCCTACGTATACTGATGTTTTAATACATCAGTGAATAAATGAATTGGTACAAACTAGGGATGTGCAGATGCCGATTTGGGAGCAGAGCTGTCTTAATAACAACAAAGGGGTGGAACGAGTTGTGATGTCAAGGGGCTTGTTCTGGCCCTTTGTTGACATTCGGGGGCAAAGCTGTTATTTTGTGACCAGCGATTGTTGGGATCAGTTGTGTTGGCAGGCGTCGAGTTTTTTTTTCGGCGAGTCGTGGCCGTCATCCATCATGATTAACATGGATCTACACTGCAGTAGAGGGGGGGTGGCATCTGGGTGCCCCCTTTATTAAAGGGGGCACCCAGATTTAGATAAGCACCCCTGCCCGCAGACTCCCGCAACCATCAGGCCAGGGTTGTGGGGAAGAGGCCCATGATCCCCCCTGGCAAAGAACCCTCCCCACGGTGAGGGAATGTGGCCTGATATGGTGCCTTTTGTGTGCTGTCAGGCTGCTACTCAGATCAAGAGTGTGGTAATGGTTTTTAGAGGGGACCCCATGCTTTTTTTTGGCATTAGGGTTCCCCATTAAATTCCTACCAGAGATAAAGAGTCTAGTTGGAATTGGGAGGGGGGGAGGGTGCACTCTGTTTTTTTTTTTCCGTATTGTTTCTGTGGACTGTCAAGAGTTAAAACGAAAAATTTAATTTTGTTTTCTAATGTCACTTTGCTGCAATGAAAATTTGTTCATAATGATCATTTAACCCATCCAAAATTAATGAAAACATTGGCTTAATCTGAATCCTTAAACAAATTGACTTTCAGACCCGAAAAACAAAATAACGAAAAATCCAAAGCGAAATGAACCAAAACAAGTTCTTTGCCAGCTTACTTGTCTACGCCCCACCACTGTCCTAAAATCATTAGTCTGCATTGTTTTAGAAAAAAAATATTACAGGACACTAAAAAAAGGGTATTGGTAATTGGTATTAGCGAGTGCTTGAGGACAAGATCGGTACTTGTACTCGGTCTTCAAAAAATAGTAATTATGCATTCCTATTATAAACATCCCACAACTCCTGAAATAAATATTTTGTTCAATTTTGATATAATACAATATGGCATGCTTACCCTCTAGTGTGCCCTCCATCAGCAAAGCAACACCTTTGCTATCCAGCTACACTCGCCACTTCTGACATCTTCTGTCTGTCTTCCTGAGGATACAGAGTCATCTGACTCTGCCATTGGGCAGCCACTAATGATGTAACTTCTACACATGCACATTAGAGTTACTTTGTCCAGATACCCTGCTCTTCTGTAAGATGCCATGAATGAGCCAGGATGTCCACTGCGCTGTGTGCACAAAATTTTAAAAAAAAATGCTAAGAGCAAGAGGAAGCAGTATTTTATTATTGAACTTTAGTTCTGATTTAAATAAGAATTAAAAGAAATGATTATATAAAACTGAATGAATAACCTAAAACATAACAGCAAAAAACTTGTAAATGTAAAAATATACTATAGGCTACTTCTTTCTATAAAAAAAGATCAGCTGTATTAAAGATGACAATCCAATATATGCCCACAATGTAGAACAATGTAGAACTGCATAGTGTACATTCTATGCTGCATAGAGTACATGACTGTGCTTTCACTGAGCACATAGCTTGTGTTCTGATATATTACTAATTTTTCACCTCATTTTTCATATTAACACTGTATTAACGTTTTGTTCTTCCTGTTTTTGCTAGATTTTAATTTTCTGTTTGTTACTGGGACTAGGTAGAAATGAAAAATACAGAGGCCTTTTAAACTGAAGTGGAAATAATTTAGTTTGCTGCAATTATTGTTTTCTGTGCAAGCTTTACTGTAAAAATAAATAAATACATAATTAAATTCTATATGTATGCGAAAATAACAATTTTGGCATAAAGGCAAAACAATCATCCTCTGACTCCACAGTGGCAGTTGGAGTACCTTTCTGCATCAATATATTGCTATACTAATCTTTGGTAGTTATAAGCATTGGCATAACAAACAGGCATATCCTAGGGTAGAAATAGGCCCCATTAGGGAGAATTTAACGTAGAAAATTTGTCTGCATGTGAAGATAAAACAAATACAGTGCTGTATCATAAAGCATTGCAGGGGTTGCTCCTGACACCCTGTAACCCCATTTTCAATTAAGAACAGGAGTAACAAATATAACACAGTTCACATCATAAACCTGCTAACATGTTTCAGCTACACATGGCCTTAGTCATAGTTATGACATAGTTTATGCCATTTATGCTCTGAAGCAACTTATTTATTTTAATGATCATTTAACTAAAATCTAATATTTTAGTTTTCAGTAGACATTGCAAGTCATGGACTAGTGGGGAACTATCATTTTTAGAGGGACACTTTCTATATCTGTGTGGTTGGTAATATGTACAAAGCGAATATACTGTATTGTTAAAGTATAACGATCAAATACTGTATATATGGTGGTTTCCATATAGAACATGATATATTGTATATATATAAAGGTTTAATGTAGGACTCTCTCCACAAAGTGCATTTTAGGGCTTCTAGCCAACTCTTATTCATCATTGAATTTAGCAAAATATCTTTTCCATGCAGGTGATATCCCAGCACCACAAATTGCAATAAATATCGACCGAATATCGACCGAATCCGAAACCCAAACTGAATTGAATTTCGGATCCG